TATTTAGTTAGTTTTTAGTTTACTTATTTCTTGTTTATTACCTTAATTAAATTAGGTTTCTTATTTTAATTTTGTACTTAGTAAAGTTTTTTCTTTTTATTATTTCTCACATATATATATATATATATATATTAGGGTAGTCTTTAGTTGCAGGTAAAATTTCAGCCCCTTTCACCCCTTGATTTTGTTCCAATGTCCAAAAAAATATTAAATGTGAAACTTCATCCATTTTGGACTATATTAAGAGGTTGAAGTTCTAGACTGCAGTGGCCTGGTACCATATGTACTACATGATATAAAAACACATTTGTTGTGTATTATGAATGATTTCTTTAAAATGTATTATTCTATTGCATGTACAATAATATAACAATATAATTATATGACTTTGGTGTTTTTTTACTTTTTTACTGTTAGGATTCTATTGTTTTGCACAATTTGAAATATAATTTTGTGTCTGTTCTTCTTTCTTTATCATGATGACATTATATTCCTCAATAAGGGCTACATCCCTTTCAGCACTGTCATTTACCACATTCAAGTGTTGAACTGTCTGTAGTACCTTCCTCTAGTCCTCTCTGAACTTAGAATACATAATCCAGAAATCCAGATGAAATCTAAAGAAGTTTGTTGTGTTCTTTGTAACAAACTGACATGTCCTCAGAATACATAATATTCAGCTGGGTGTGTTATGGAGGTTCAGCTATGCCTTTCTTTTCATTTGGTGCCCTTACCATTGCTTATTTTGTCTCTGTAGATGCAGTTGAATCAAAGAATGCCAAGTTCCTCATTAAGATACCACAGACATCCAGCAAATTTTTGACAGACAGATTTTTATTCATAACAAGACATCATAGGAAGTTAAGATCACTGCAAGGAGCAGAAAGGGTATCAAGAGCAGTGAGCCATGCCCTAAGATAGATTGAACAATGCAGATGTCACAAAGTCGTCCTTCCTCACCAGTGAGCTTAAACTACCCCATAAACATCCACATCTTGAGGGCATATAATGTTACCTGCTCTATCCACCACAGGGAATCAAATCCCAGATTCTAGGATTGTAAGTCTGTAAATTTACCACTGGGGAACTGCTCACACCACTGTCAATAGTGAACTTTTCACATTTCATGGTCCTAATCATTAGTATGTAGTGCCTAGCTGAATACAACAATTCAAGGATTTTTGTATAGCCAATAACTGCACTGATTGTATTCTCCAATCATAACTGAATAAAAACTAAAAAATGGATTAACTTGCCTGATATTAGGCTCACTTAAAGCTCACTGTATGAAAATCTACTAATTGATATTTTCTGTAATCTGCAAGAAGTCTTCCAGCCCTTTTGCTGTAGACCTTCTAACACATACTGTTATTTATGGTTTTTCTTTAATTTCAATCAAGAAGCTGGTAAAGTGCAGTTGCAATTAATAGGAATTCACCGTGTTCAATAAACATCCTGAATGTTCAAAATAAAATGTATTTAGTCGACGATATTAATCATGTAAAAGTTTAAATAAAATGAGGATTATTACCGAAAGCATCTGTTTGACTCGGATTGAAAACAGTTATGACTCCAAAATATCAAAAAAAAGGTAATATTGAATTATTTTGGACCAATCTAAAACTATTGGAAACATTTTTGTAAAGAAAGTTGTGTCATTAAATCTATTGCACTCAAGCTTCTTTTTGTGTGTGTGTGTGGGGGGTTGCCTTAAGAACTGACATCTGTAAAATATAAATAATAAAAAACTTTTCCTCCAGATGTGGATGACTTTGACAATTCTCCAAGGTTTGATTTTAAATGTAACACAACATTACATTCTGAGGGGGGGGGGGGATTCAAGGAATTTCAAATGATTAGTGCTTTGAGTTTTGATTATAAACTATCGTGCTCATTATTTAATTTCTGTAGTGCATATTGGTGTATAGAATACATATTAATACTAGAAATAAACAATGTTATAACACCAAAACGTTATTATTACTTAATTAGACACTCAACATTTCACTTTACAGCTTCTTCAGGAGCATTCACTAAAACACAAAATGAAACTGACAGTACAAAGCTTTAAAGCATCAAGTCGTGAAACATCGTGAAAGGTTGAGGATTTTTTTTAGACTAGTAGGGAGGTAGCCAGGTGGAGGGAACAGGCCATCAAATTCATCTTCCTCTTATTCAACCTCAAATTGAAGGGAAAGAACATCAGCCAAACAGACAGGAATAAAAGGCCCAACATACTTGATGGATCCCACAACATGCAGTATAATGTCAGTAATGTACTCCACAGTCAATGAGCTTCCTGAAGCCACAGTAGAAAAAGGGCCTGTGTGTGTGTAACATCATCACTCACATAGAATAAAAGCTGAAGACACTGTCACTTGAGAATTCATGACAGGAGTTAAAGCTTTCAAAACAAAAGCTGAAGAAAACGAAAACCAAAGTTCTGTTAACTCTCTCAACATGGACTTCATCAATTTGTCCAACCACGTGACCTCTTTGTACTTATTCAAAGTCCTTATAGATTTGATACTGATAACTTTTAATACAGCATGTATATCTTCACAAAATTTGGCAGTTTTTATGTCTTTCACATACAAAAAATCATGTTTTAGGGAATTATTTATGAAAACTAAATATAGATTTCTCCTTGAATATATCAAGTATTTGTTTTGATTAGTCCGTGTGCAAAGTGGTTTTCATGTCAAGATTAAAAATACTTTTCTTACTCTCAAAAATCTCAAATTTCATTTCTGTAATCTCTAAGACCTCCTAAATACATTTCAAATGTTTGTTTTCAGTAAAACTCTAACTCTATTCTAACTTTACCCTACTCTAACTCTATACAAGGTTAGTCAATTTGACTGACCTCATAACCACCAAAAACAAAAAATTGAAATAAACTTAAATTACCCTCTTCTTCTTTCTAGAATGACTTCAAATGTAGCATGAAACTACATTCATTTATCCTAAGTAGATTTAAACTTGTAAGAGTATACACCTATTTATAATTAAATGTTATTGTTTTATTGCCCTTTGAAACATATCTAACTACTATCTGCACCATTATAAGTTGTAAATCACTTGGAGAATGTGCAGCTCATATTACATTATCGAATTACATTACCCACGAGCTACTACTCACGTGCATGCTTCGTGAAATATTTTTATTATATTATTATTATTATTGTATATTTAACCTAATCTAACCTTAATTAACGTTACACTATCGAATTACATTACCCACGAGCTACTCCGACCTGCTACTCACGTGCATGCTTCATGAAATATTTTTATTATATCATTATTATTCAATATTTTACCTAATCTACCCTAAACAGATCCCTATTTTTACATTTTAATTACTTTTATAATAAATAAAGAATAAACATGAAAAACATGAAATAAAGTACTTAACTAATCTTTTTTCTTACTGTTGATTGTCAATGACACTTAACCCTACTTTTTTATACTAATGGTAGTAATGCACTAAGTAATTTTTAATTAATTAAATAACGCACCAAAGAACATAGACTAATAACATGAAAAAAGCAGACATTTGCCTCTAACTCTCAAAATTTGTCTGGCTTTCTAACTACGCGATAAAAGCCGTTACAAATTCATCCAAGCTAGTCATTATCTTTCCCATCTGAATGAAGCTTGTACTAACAGAGAAACTGACAATTTTATGTTCAGAAAAACAACATAATATATCACTTTATATCTAAAAACCTTGGCTTTCTATTGGTTATACATAATATAGAATTAAACCTAAGAGAGAACTATTAACAAATCCTGAAATAGAGGATGTGACAGGTTTGTGTGGCAGGAGGGGGATTTTCTATTTGAAAGCTCTGTAACCAAACAAAATTGAAGGATATAAAAATTATGGATTGTCTGAGCAATTTTATAGTGAGTAATTTATGTTGAATTTCATCCCTATTGGTAGAGTGATGGATAAAATAGAGAAGATAAATAGAGCAAGTGTGTCACACTAGTGGAAATTCAGGATTTTTTTTAAATATTGCCTTATAGAATAAAGAACTTAAAACTTATATACTATTAAAATATGGATTATTAGCTAATACTTTATGCTATAGTAATTGGTATAACATAAACAAATAGTAGTTTAATAAAATTTTGAATGTAAGACACAATAATCTTGTGTCATGCACAGTAAAGTATACCTGTGGCAATAGGGTTAACAAATGCAAATCTCATCAAATTGAATTCAGACGAGAAAATGTGAACATGTCTATTCAATGCAGTGCTGAAGAAAGAAAGAAAAATTACAACGAGTGCAAGAGCACAAAGGGAGTTATTGCGCATGGAAATTGTGTGACCCTCCTTATTGGTGGAGGGACGTTCGTGTTAAACATGTGAATTTAGAGGAGTTAGCTCAAGGCCAGTGGCATGCAAATCTCATAAGGAGACACAGGAGAGAAATAATGTTTCTGTGTGTGGAGGGGAGGTATTGTTTCACAATGAATATTTGCAATTAAGCCTATGTATTTGGATTTTCTTACTATCTCTTGTTATAAGAAAGGTAAAGATTTTTGTATATAATTGTTGAAACTAATATTTTCTTAATTTTGCTTTTTTAACCTAGACAAAAGCTATAATTTTAGCAAAAATTTCAATAAAATAGTTACAAACTAAGCTTTCAAATATTTAAATGCTGTAATGTTGGCTGAGA